AAACATGGTGTGTTGGTGGGGATTCATCCTCTCCTTGAAAGAGTGCATTGGGAGGAACTGGTATCAATCCCATGAGCTCCTCCTCTGCTTCTGTTGGGTGCTGGAGCTCCAACCACCCTGCTTCTCTCCTTAGCTGGGAGTAAGAGGGGCTGCCTGTACACAAGGAGCATATTGCAGATGAGCTGGCTCCCATGTGGGCTGGCAACTGGGCAGGCAATGAAGGACTCCCTTGGGCACTGGGGGTACGGGGACTCAGCTTGACAGACCTGTTTCCAAGGGTACAGAGTGGCAGCGGGAAGGGGGAATGGCAGATGGTGCCTTGGACATCAGATTTAATGCACTGGAGAATGGCTGCTATACTGTCGAGGGCAAGGTCTCCTCATGAGTCACTGTTTCTGTCAGGGCTTCATGCGCGACATATACTGCTTGGAACTCTGTTCATTGGGATGGGGCCAGAGGTGTGAAGGTAGAACTCATGGGTTTGATACTTGCAGACTTTGTGGGCTGATATCTGGCTTATCTAAAGAGATGGCCAAATAGCATCCCTTTGATCATTCAGGATGGAGGCCAACACTGCAGTGTTTCCATGTCTTCCCTGGTGATAAGCCCAGAGACATATTTTTGATCATATTTGGGTTTCTCTTTGGTGTTATCCAAAATGTCCTTCTTAGACTAATGGCAATGAAAATGAGGATTCCTGTATGTGAAAACAGGGATTTTTCCCTGTTTTTTAAAAACCTGCTGTAATGGCTAGTCTGTGTCATGGCTACAAGAAAGAATTAATGTTTGAGAAGCAAGTGTTTATCACCTTATAATGTTGTCCTGTTTAGAGATAACACTGTTTGAAGTTTGAAGATACATTACTGGCAAACATTTGAATCAAAGCCAAGCTTTAATTGGCTGCTTCCCAACTTCAAATCTGAACATTGTATTTGCATCATGAGTAACTGCAAACAAAGAGGAGCAAGGTTAATTTTTAATATCTTAGTTTTACAAGGAGTTTCTTGACCATCCAAGTTCAGCTATCTCCTCAACATTTTCTCACTGACAAAGATTCTCTGTTTTTTCCCCCCTAAGCAATGGCTATGCCTACAAAATTGTGGGCAGAACTGACAATTTGTGGATTGACAGGCTGTTATATATTTTCCCCATTACTCAAGTAATCACTGCCACAGTGGCTGTGAACACATTTCCATGCAAATACATCCTGGAAGAGGCAGAAAAGGGATCTGCACCCAGACGACCCCCAGTCACAGCAGTATTCAAAATGGAGCGGGGATCCCTCTTCCCACCACGTGAGCAGATGTTGCTGCTCCTCATCCTCTTTTTCATCATGACTACCATTTGCTTGCTTGGCAGGCACAGAGCCAATGAGCATCTACTGCTCCTTCTTTTCACTGCCACTGTCCGCCAGTGAATTGCAGTGGTCAGGAGACGAAACAAGTTCAGGGGGCTCTTGACAGAGGATCTCAGGTGTGCAGCCACCCTAAAGGTTCTGGGGATCAGCAAAAAAGGGGGGCAGTCCATCTGGTTGCAGGCTTTTGGAAGACAATGCTGTGCACTGTTTTTTAATCATTTGTTAGGAAAAAAAACTTAGGTCAGAGAAACTTCAGGGGAGAGCCAGCCCCCCACTTGTCTACAAGCCCAGTAGATCATACTGGGGAGGGCACCCTCAGCAAGCATCCCAGCATACCTGCTTTTTACACTGGTGATGATGGATTTTTAAACATCTAGAACAAATTATTTCCAACACCAATGCTGGACAGATATGCTTTGTACGGAGGCACAGGAAATGCTGCTGCAAGGCCAGCATCAGGGGCCCAGACATACCAGCTACTTGCCAAGGAACACACCAAAGAAGAGGGTTTTACTCAAATCCCTGGAGGATGATGCCTTCCAGGTATTTTGGACTATAGCATTCATCAGCTCTTCCCAGCATGGTTAATAGTCAAGAAGTGTAGGAGTTTTAGCCCAAAATATCTAGAGGACAATGGGTCACTAACCCCTGCCTTGGAGTCTCCTCCTCCTCCTCCTCCTCCCAGCTGTTCTGCAAGGTCAACTGCCTCTTCCAAATAAGCAATAGTATGTAAGTCAAACAGCATGTCTTTCTCCTTCTCTAGGAGGTGATGCAGATGGAGAAACAAGTGGATGGCAAAAGCAACAGCAAGGAAGAGATGGAGGAGGTTCATGAGAAACTCTTTGGAACATCTAAGCATTTTGCTGGCTGACTTATACTAAGGGAAGCTATTGAACCTGGAACCTTTTGCATGCAAAGAATGTGCTCTGTCACTGAGCTAAATGCTGCCTCCTCCCACCCCAAATGACACTGTGATCTTTGAAAGAAAGGTATTTAGGCTTGTCACTGTGCAAATGAGGGAAGGCACAGAAAGGGAAACAGAAATAAATCAGGGAGAGGAGGAGGGAAAGGAGAGAAAGCCAGAGCTCTGCTCCTTGGCTTTTCAGGTGTGCTGGACTCCTAACTAGCATTTATTTTAAAATAGGTGGAACATAAAGTATGACCATTTAATTGAAATATGCCGGAGCCTGATCTAGAATTAAGAAATATGCTGATAATTGAAAATACTGTGTAGTTCTTAGAAACACATTATTTGCAGCTGTAAATTCAGCAGCTGATCCAAATCAGAGCATATTTCACTGAGTGGAATGGACACATATTTCAACATGACTAATTGATTTAGATGTGTGAGTTTTTGTGTGTGCTGTTAAAAAGAGCAAATTCTTTTTCCAAGTCTAACAAAATGACAATTTAAAATGGGCCAACTTTTGTTATTACATATATCAGTTTTGCAGGAAGGATGTTGGAAACTATGAAGCTTTTGTGGGTCAAAATGTCAAAGATATTCAATGTGACCTCACACTTTTTTATTCTGTAAGTCATGTTTATGAATTGTTGTGAACCTTCCAGAAAGTTTCAGCTACTGGGTGGAGTATTATTACTAAAATAAATAAAAATAATAAATAATAGTAATAATTACCTTTTGGGAGGAGAATCGTGTAGTATTCAAAAGCCTTCAAGGAGTTTGTTTAATCATTATTTCAGATAAGTTTCCATTTAAAAAATGCTGAAGTGGTTCACAAAATGAAACCTTGATCAAATACAGTAGGACCAGATCAAGTACCTTCCTCTCCCATATCCACAGATCTGTTTTTACAAATAGTTCTACACACTTTAGAGCTTATGTAAATTAGCATGTCCACATTTGTTGGGTTTTTTCCTGTTCTGTGTTTGTTTTTGTTCTGTGGGTCTGAGCCCTGAATCTTTTTGGTACCTAACACCACCCCCTGATTGAAGGATGTGGAAACCTAACTTCACATATATTCTGATGGGGTCAAGTTGAGACCAGGAAAGGTTGCAATAGATAACTCAGTGAAAACATTGACCCATTGTTTATGCTGTGGAAAAAGGCTGGAGGTTATTAGAGAAGGAACTGAAAACGAAACTGACAGTGTCGTAATGTCTTTATGAAAATCTATGAGGTAATTACATGTCTGTATCCTGCCCTGTGTACCGTTCACTGCAGCACTATATGGATAACATAGTGAGAAAAAGTTCAGAAAATGGTAACTGAAATGATCAATATCATTCATTTGCTTCCATTTAACAGCAAACTTTACAATATCGAGACTTTTTTAGCTTAGAAGAAAAGACAAGTTGCCCTTTGGTGAAGTGCCTTTTTTCCAGATAAAGAGCACATACATAACTTGCAGAAGGCCTGGCATCCTACAGGGCTAAGTGGAATGTCTGTCCTAGGTTGCTTCCAGAGGAGTGCCTTGTTATGCATTGCCTGTCTCGTTGATGGGATTTTACAGGGGTCAGCCAGTATCATCTTCCATTTTTAGCCTTCTTATGTTGCAAGTTGAGAAGGAGGAAAAGACTAAATAACTACATAATGCTTTTGCATTGATAGCATAATGTGTTCAATGGGAAATACTCCCAGGTAAGGTTATACAGGATTGTAGCCTTTATTTGTTCTTTGCTTGCCTCTGTGTGTGGGTGTGGGTGTGGATGTGGGTGTGTGTTTTAATTACGAAAGTAATACAGTATAAAGTGAACGGAGGTGGAAGAAAAGGAAGAAAGTTGCTGAGCGGCTGTGTATTCTTCGTCACTTTGACAGAGCCAAATGTATGGTATCCTGACAACCGCGCCGTGAGGGGTCTTACTGAGCGGACTTTCCCCGCGGAAACAGCACTCCGCACATGGCCAGAAGCTCCGGCTGTTCTCGTTCCCGTGCGTGGAGGACGACTTTCCACACCGAGAAGACACGCTGTCTTCCTCTTCTTAAGGCAGCGCGGTTGCGTGAACGGTGCTGCTCCCAGCGCCTCCCCCGCCTCCCGCCATGCCCGGTCCTCCAGCACTAGGGGGCGGGCGCGCTCCCTCAGACGTGCAGTCTCGGCTCTAGCGGCAGCAGCGAGGTTACACGGCAAGCCACCGCCGCCGCCGCCGCCGGAGCCGGCGTTAGGGTCAAGGCGACTCCCTCGCTCCCTTCCTGGTCGGCCGCCGCGGCGGGTTTGGCGGTGAGCCTCCAAGGCGCAGGCGCCGTCGGGGCAGGCGCGGAGCGAGGAGGATAACGAGCGGCTGTGTCTGGGCCGCCGGAGACCGCAGGTAAGGCGCTCGGCGCGGGTGGGACTCGCCCTCGGCCCCGGCGCGCCGCTCGCTTCCCCAGGGGAAGGTGGAGGAAGGGGCTTGCTTCCTTCGCCCTACATCGCGGGGGTCCCTTTCTGGCTTGCTCCTTCTGCTTCAGGGGTCGCACCATCCTCATCACTGCCTTCCAGGTGGGAGGCTCCCCTCCCTTCTTGGACGGAGTCCCTTCACCCACGGCTTCTCTCGCCTTGAGACAGCCCACTTTCGCGCCCTCCAGACGGGTTGGACTGCAACTCCCATCATCCCCGGTCTGACGAGGCGTGGCTGGTGGTGAAAGGCACTGTAGTCCAATCCTTCTGGACGGTGCCAAGTGTGAGGAAGGCTGTCCTAAGCCTTCGTCCTTTCTCTGGGGTTACACGATGAGCCTCCGCCTCTGTTATTCCGCCTACTTTCCCTTCCTACTTCATGCAGCGGTTTTTTTTTTTCCTCCAACTGCTTCGTGGCTTCTGGCCTTCAGATCGGACCCTTTTGCCGCTCGCCCCGTTTGCTCTTCCTTAGCGGCCCCGTTTTCTTCTCCAAATGCGACGAAACTCCTAATGGAAAGCGAGGCAGCGTGCTGGTATGTAGTGGCTGTTAGGAAGCCCCTGTTTCGAGGCACCCCTTTGTGACAGAGTTCACTTAAGATGGCCTTAAAGGAGCATCTTGCCCCGCCATCTCACCCTCAGCTCCCTTTCCTCTGCAGTATGGGTGATAATGCACACTTTCCTTAGTGAAGTGGTGGGGAACATGTGGCCCTCCAGATGCTGGTCGACTACAACTCCTATCGGCCCCAAGCAACTTGAGCAGTGATGAGGGGATGACTGGAGGAGTTGCAGCCCACCCCTGACTTAGACAGTTGTTGTGAAGATTGCCATTTGATAGTGCATGTGGAGTAACTTGAACAGTAGTAGTGTCATGTAAATGTGAAGTTTGTGACAACTACTGCATTTTTGTATTTCGTGGTTGTACATGTGCCATCCAGCTGCATCTGTCTGTCGTTTCCATCACATGTCTGATACACAAGTTGTATTGTGTGAAAGTGATTTTTGTACAGAAATTTTTGATACAGTTGGAAGTTCTTACACCAGGATTTAGCTTTGTAATGTGTTAATGACCATGTATAGAACACACTTATATATAGAAGTTCATTTCTTTCAGCGCTGAGTAGCCATATCTTGCTCCACACACTTACAATTGCTTGTTTCAAGTAGTCTTCAGAGAGTTTGATCCCTGGCACTTTTCTTTTCTTATGCAAATCTGAAATGCTGCTTAACACATTTTAATACCCTGTTGTATACCCTGTCAGACAAGTTTTTGTGTCATAACAGAGATTTCAGCATGTCCTCTTATAGGTTAAGTGGAGATTGGAGCTTACACCAGTGGTTGCTACATCATAGAGCAAAGCAGTAGTGGTGACTCATTAGATAAATAAAGTCGTGTCCAGTCCCTTATGTGGGTATAGACTTAGTATAATTGCTTCTCTTCCCTCCCAGCATAGCTGTTGGAGTGATGAAAGTTGTCCAAGAGTGCCTTATTTGATGACCTCACTGATTGGGCAGCCTTGAAAAGAGAAATTACTGTCTTAGATAGCTTGGTCTAAAGTTGTTTAGAGATTTATACACCAATACTGAAATCATAAACCTGGTGTGATAGCAAATAGGCAGTCAGTGTAACTCCCTTAGTACTGGTTGAATGGTGATAAGAGGCATTTCTCTACGGCCAAGCCACTGTTTCCTGTATCAGCTGCAGCTTCAAGGCCAACCTTAAATGCAGCACCATGTAGAGTGTATTGTACTAATCCAGTCTTGGGACTACTAGCACCTGTACTCTTCAAGTTATTTTGAGTTAAGAGTAAAAAAAAAGTCTAGGGTGAGATCTTGTGCCTGTGTGGTCTATCTTAGTAATTCTACTACTATGCCAGCTGTTTGTCGTATGCCTGCTTTATCCTTCTGCTGTGAGCTGCTCTCTTCCCTCTGGATCCAAAACTCAAAATATTCTTTTGAAATGCAGTTCTTTTATTGAGACTCCACAAATAACAGTACAATTTTAGTTCTGAATAGCCTTCTACCAAAGCTGAAAAGAGATGCTTCTGCTTGTGTTAAGAGTTGAATGCAAACCGGAAACTTCCCCTTGGTGCCTCCTTTTCTGTAAAGCTTCTGGCTCCACCCTCAATTGAGCAGCTCATTTCTTCTGAAACCACCTCACTGGGTCAAGGACTGAGTCTTGCAGATTTTCCCTCCTGAAAACCTTTCTTCCCCTTCAAAACAGTCTGTTTCTTATGCTCCACCTGAGAAACTTCACTATGCACAGTTGAAAGAGTTTTAAAGGCTTCAGTGCTCCCCCGCACCCCGTTCAGAGTCTGACAAAGACTTCCACTGAACAGTCTGCAGTCTGTGAGAGATCAGCCCACACTCTACACCTTCTTTCTCCTCAGCCTTGAGCTATTTCATTGGGAAAAAAAAAGAATGCTGCAAGGCCTATTGGACAATCTTGTCCACATCACCACTTTATATTTCTACTGTCATGAAAACTCACAGATTTCCCATAGTAGAGATTACGTGTGTACTTTCCTAGGCCTTTGGTCCAGATGAGCATTGCAGAGTGAAATATTTCTAAAACATGAATAGTTGGCAAGATTTATATGTAGAAGAACTTGGAACAATTGTTATAATGGATGTGGATGTTCATAGTAGATGTGTATTTAGAGTGTTGGACTGGGTCTCAAAAGATCCAGATTATAGTCCCCTCTCACCTTCATTAGGTGACTTTGGATTAATCAGCCTAAGCCTACCTCACAGGGTTATTGTTGTGAGGATCAAATGGGGAGGAGAAAGATGATAATACAAGCCACCTTGGATACCTTGAAGCAAAAAAGGAGGGATATGGATGTAATAAAATAAAAAATAAAATGAAGTACCTGACATAGAGATTTTCCAAAAGGGTTAGCCTGTTGCAGCAAATCCAACAAAGAAACTTCTTGGGCACAGAAACAAAAAGCACCATGCACATAATACAGTATTCTATGTATTAGTTTCCAAACACAATACCAAAAAATTGAAAATTCTTCAAAACAATCGGAAGTGAAAAAATGCCAAACAAAAGAACAAAATACCAAAATTAGTGCAGTGTGATTCCCACTGACCCATCTCTCCCCTCCCTGTCCCCTGCACCCACAGCACCACTGGTGCACCCCCTGCAAACACATTGCCAACCAAAGAGGTGGTGGAGCACAGCCAGGCCTTGCACTGGTTCACAGCAAGCAGGATGTGGCCTCCCCACTGACCAGCAGGAAATCTCCCACTGGCGCTGGTCCACAGACCAGTGTTTGAAAACCATTGCTTTAAGGTGCAATCTTATGCATGTTTAGACAGAAAAGGCGTGTACAACTCTGAGTATGACCAGGCCAGCTATGCTGGTAGTTGCAGGCAATTTTTCTATCTAACGTTGCATAGGATTGTGCTGCCCCCGTACTGCTGGATATTGCAAACTCCCCCACATACCGCCTAGTGAAAGCAAATAGGGCTGGGGGAAAGAGAGGGCAGCATTGCACTATGCTGCTGTATCTACACCTGTCTCTGGAGGAAGCAGGACCTTTCGGGGGACTCGGCGCCTTGGGTGGTGCCCTTGGGTGGGGACCAGAAGGCAGCACCAAAGGATATCGTCCATTTGGCACCATTTCAGCCCTGTCAGGGATGGGGACTCTTGGTCACAGGTTGTTGATTTGTTATTGTGTTTATTGCTTTTTGTTCATCAAATAAGATTCTTTTGTTGTTTCTGTGTATATCTGTAAACCTCTCTGAGAGCCCAAATGGGATATGAGGAAGTATAAAAGGATGATGATGATGATGATGATGATGATGATGATGATAATTTTCTTTGGATTCTGTTCACTCTGCTATTTTTATTGAGAAGAATTCCAAAGGAGTTTTCTAGATATGCAAAATGTGCAACAAAATAAGTTCAGTTTAAAACAGTTGATGCACATTGGGGCAACAGTTTTTTAATTCACATATACCATCATAGTGAATTAGCTGACAAACTAAGAGATTGTGGGATTGAGCTGGAGACAGCATGATGAAAGTATCATCTTGATATCATCATCATCCTTACTGCCCACTGGTTGAACCTTTCTGGGTTTACAACAATTTATAAAACACAGTATAAAATGCAGACAATAAAAATTGCATAAAATGTTCCAAGACACATTTAAAAACCAAATTTAAACAAATAGAGCTGCTCATTACAGCCTTCCTGTTAAAGCAGGTGACAGCCCCCCCCCTTGCTATTTAAAACTGTTTAAATGCCTTGGCATAAAGGGCAGTCTTAACCTGGTGCTGAAAGGATAGTAGAGTTGGTGCCAGGTTAAGCCTGGTATGAAGAGGCTGACTGCATGTTGGGGATAATGAGAGCAGCGATCAAAACTAAAACAGCTGGGATCATAATACCTTTGTATAAATCTGCCATACCTGGGATACAGAGTGTACTATTGGTCTATCCATCTTGCAAAGATATCCTACAGCTTGAGAAAATGCAGGAAGGGGCAGCCATATAATGAACAAGGAAAAGCGGAATTACTGGGGGTGGGGGTTAGGTTAGAAAGAAGTATAATTAAGAAGAGAAATGAAATGATAGAGACATAAGTTAGTTGGTGCATCTCTTCCTCACTGAAACTGGTAGGTGACATGGGTTCTGTGGGGTTCTTCTATATTAAAGGCCTCTAATTCCAGCTTTTTCCCATAAAAGCCTCTGGGTTGCACATAAGGCTCAGACATATTCTTAGGATGGAAAGATGGTGTATGGCTGCAGGCTGGTACATTCATTTATGGCATACCCATTTTCTGGTGGTGCCCAAGACAGCTTTTGAAATTATCAGAAGCTCCCACTGGGCCAAACAGGATGCCTACTAGACTTTGAGATATGTAGTGATGGCCAAATACTTAGATCAGCCTTCATGCTGGCTGGCAATGATGGGAAGTATAGTACAACACATAAGGGAGACACCAAGTTAGGGATACCTAACTTAGATGATTTTACAAGGAGATTAAGGCACTCATGCAGTGAAGTCTATCACTAATTATGAGCCACAATACCTAAATGGAACAATAATTCTCAGAGGCAGTATGCCACCTTGTAGCCATTGCTGAAGGACAATTAAGTGAAATGGCTCTTTCTTTCACTCCATGCTTCTGGGTTTCCCTGAGGTGCCTGACTAACCGCTGTTGGAAATAGGATGGTGGAGAAACTGAAGCCTTGGTCTGATTGACACGGTTCTCATGTTTCCAGAAATAATACTCCCTCTGGGTTACTTGCTGTTTGAGGCTTCTTGGCACAAATGAAATATACTCACTAAGGCTGTCTTCTGTCCAGCCTTATTCTCTCTCCTTCCAAGCACATCAGGATAAAGCTTTCTAACTAAAAGTCTTTGTTTTGTTAAAGCTGACCAGTTAGGCTGTTATTGCAGAAGTTAGTACCAAAAGAAACAAGCAAAGTTAAAATACTGCCATTAGAGAAATGTGGCTTAATGCTGTGAAGCTGAATTATAAGCTGAATTGCAATCTCCTCCCCTCCCCTCCAAACTAA